CTCAAATGAATTATATTTAAGAAACTTTAAAAAAAAATAAAAATTATTTCTTAGTTTGTATGAACAACCCATGCTTAACACCATGTTGGCAGTATGCAAATTCAAGTACTATTTGCAATGAGCTATACACGCTCCTGTTACCAATATTTTGTAGGTACAGATACGGAACAGTAATAATCCTCAACCTGCTACGTTTACCAGCCCTTTTTCCTTTCCTAATATTGCATTATCGAGGGTTCAGGTCCCGGAAATGAATACCCAAAAAGTTTTTCTATCTCTGAAAAGATGTGTCATAATTAATGTTGTTTTCCTGATAATGTGATGTGGATTTCCAACATTAAATAAATGACAAATTACGACAGGCAAAATAAAGTTAGAGAAACAAACTGACAAGGGTGAACCAGACGTTTCGTTCGTTTCGATCAAAATGTTGGGTGTTCTCAGTTTGCTGTTCAAAGACTTACTATTATATCTCATTGTGCCGAGGCATTTAAGATTATAAGTATCAAATAGCGCTGTTAGTATTTCCAAATGAGTCCTTAAGCTAAATCATTGCTTTCTAGATCAAGGAAAGAATGTTGATTACAAGAATCGTACTTAACAAGCAAGCTGATGAGAGGAATAGCGCCATACCTCTAGCCTATGACTAACTAGCATTATGGTGTTCGAAGTACCAAAATGGAAATCTCTTGCGTTTAGTACTGCGGAGAATCCAACGATTGTCTCCATAGGTGGCAACTCCCAGTGAGTAAGATCGCCCATCAACGGTTTGTCGTCAGCACCTTCTTTTTATATACCTATTGTGTTGTGAAACCGAGTTCACATATTATTGTATAGGGCTGCTGATCATCTACACAAAAAGTATCATGCTCTGAAATACAATTTGTTTGTGGCATCTGTAATGGAATTATTGTAAAAAAAAAAACAGACACTACAAAACATTTTATCCATTGAATTTCATTGCCAGTTAAAGAACAAACGCGCAATGCAAAAAGTGAAATATTTTATTCGAATCAGTAAAAAATAAAGCATAATTATGGTTAATACGGCACCAAATATTACATTCATTCAGTTTGGCAAACATAATAATGATTGAAGACCTCGTCAATTATTTGCTCGGTGATGTTTTGCGTTTCTCTAGTTTGAAATACAATATTAAACATAAAAAGCTCAATATAGCTAATTGTCTTATTCACCATTTTATATGGTTGCCATCGCAGCCCTGATTAGCGCTAACGGGACCCCGATGGCTGTGCTTGGTTTAATCATGTGACAATGATTTCGTAAGATTCTGTGTCGTAATGCATTATCAGGATTAGACGGGCTCAGTAAAACAATTGGTAGTTTTTAATCACATCAAACTACACCTGTATGGAGCTTGAATCATGCTCAGCTCATTGCTTTCTGTAAAATTTAAATAGTCGCTTGATGCTTTACTAGAGGTCAGTAAAATTTTGTTCAGCTCAGAAATCACTTTGAATTTCATACGTCAGACGACCGCCAAGCGATCGTATTAGCTAGGTTCCACATCAGAGATGTGCTGCAACTCATATAAGGCATTATTGTTGTTTGCTATTGTATTTAGCTATTGTAACTGGAGTATTACTAAATGCAACTTCTATAGAACTCGTAAACGAGTCTATGTCAAACAATAGTTTTGTCTAGTGGACTGAGTCTAAGCAAGCTGGACCCAAAATAAAGAGTATCGAGGTTTTATTTCTATTATTATTGTAGATATTATTTATTGAAAAAAAGGAATTGAAAAAAATACGAAAAAAACGAAGGATCTTAATAGGACGAATTAATCAAACGATGGTCGCATTTAAACATAGTTAAAAACTAATTAACAACCTCTTGAGATCGTTTCAGATTATATATACATATATATTCTTATACCATAAGGCGTTAAACGAGGTAAGTCCATTGGTAATTCGTTCACGCTACAAATAAGATACGTCGTAGCTATTTCTGCTGTTAATATATGGTCAGTGTTTTTTTCGGCCCACTCGAATACAAGTCGTCGGAAAAATAGGCGTCAGTAACAACAGGGTAATGACCACCATTCCAGTTTTATCCACAAATGTCTGTAAAAATGTCGCTGGTGTCTGTGTATGCTTTTGTTCTTGCATTATTGTTGCTATAGAAGTGTGTTTGACCCCGAAGAGGCGCTGAAAACGCTCAAGCCCGTCAATAAATTCTAGATAATGATGCTACTGGCTCTGCTGATGATATTTAAGTCGCACAAATTTGCCTTTACGTAACCAACTTCGGAACGAACCCTTGCATTTAAAAACGAATTGAGACGCAGCGCTTAAAATATGACAAAGTTATAAAGAACTAAAAACGACGACGACAACGGCGGCGACAACAACAACAATAATAACAACAACAACATCAACAATATCCATTGGACTCATAATAAATAATAAGTGCTTATCTGCAACTTAGGAAACATAAAACGTCCTGAGAACGTGCTGTCGAAGTACTGGGTTCTCTATCTGAAGCCATGCTGTAGCTGAGAAATGCGATAATATATTAATGAGAATAGCATAGTAAGAATAAATAATCTATCGAATAATATATTATTTGTTTGTATTAGTTTGCTTTACAAAATGACCAGAGTTGGCTGAGTCATTCGGGATCAGATCGAGTATGCCAACCGAAAGTAGGTTACTCAAGCATCAGACGGTGCGCTAAAGCATTGTTCAGAGATTATTTCAAAAATTTAAAGGCTTATTTAAAGAGCTATTATAACTTACATTAGCTTATAAAATGTGTTTAGACAGACAAAATGCCTTCACTTCTGCCGGTATTGATTTTTCAGTATTTTTTACAATTTTGTTTTCTTAAATTTGTCATTTTGCGCTGACATGACATTGAAATACTAAAAGTAGCTTTATTACACGTGGACTTAACATTAGTGCAAAATAATTTTTATGGTGACTCAGGTGACACGCAGGTAGAGCTGGGTGCTCGCTGGATTCACGGCGTCCTCGGTAATCCACTCTACGAGTTTGCTGTGTCGCAGGGCCTTGTAGGCTTAAACGATCAGGCTTCAATGCAACATAATGTGGTAGTTACTACGGAACGGGGCTCGCAGGTATTCGTAATATAATGATCGACGTTTCCCGTTATTCATAGCCATTAACATGAATCTAGGGAGGCTTTGAGGGGAGATCTTTGCCTCAGCTTATTCCGTCTAAAACTAGTTAGGTATTGATATAATATATCAGACAGAACGTACGATCATACGGTGCTTAAATTTTTATTGACTATTGCTATCAGTTACCACCATTCAAGGAAATTGTAACATAACATTGTTATTGCACATGCATATGAAAATAAAATAGGGATTAGTCGTACACATCGAGTTATGAGAATATAGATTATAATCAGCATTTATGTTGGCAGGCATTATTTGTGCAATAATTATTTGCTGTTTTTGTGCGCTTCGGGTTAGTACTCGTTAATTTTTTTCGATTTTTCCAGATTCCCCTAGACCTTATCGATGAGGTGTACTCAGCGTATTTTTGGTTCAGCAAACGCTGTGAAGAATACCATTTGACGAGGTTGAAGCCACCCCCTGAATTTGACAATTCTGTCGGCAAACATATTCAACGCGATATTGAGTTAGTATTTACAGTCTGTAAATATTGTTTCGTATTTTTGGTGTATGTGCGATTGCCTAGAGTAATAACAAGACCATGATTATTATTATTAGAGAAAAAATTTGAGTTACTCTGGGTTGCTCACGAAATCGATAATGAAACAAAGTTGCATCTCAAAAAGACATCTTTTTGCAGTGGCTATCTGAAGAGGTACTCGGGTGAGGAAAAAAAAGTTCGTCAAATGATCTTCACGCACGTAAAGGATCGAGACGCATGCATTGCCGGTGCGGATTCGATGGATACCGTCTCCCTTGAGGATTTTGGAGCTTTTGCGGAACTGCCTGGTGGGAATGTAATTTTGGGCAAAGGAAAGAAATCGTTTTTCGAATTGTGTTTACGGCTAGCTGAACCTCTAGGTTCGGACCGTATCAAGATGTCATGCAGGGTAAACAAGATTCGGTGAGATATTTATTACGGACTTTAGCTATTGGTTTACTTTTTCCCATATGTTAAAGGAGATTTGTTAGCAAATCTCAAAACCAAACACGGATTGAGAATCCGTGGAAACATGATGTCCAAACTAGTAGCCTTCCAGTTTCTTTAGTCTAGGAAACTAGATCCAGCGTAGCAGATGCTAACTCAAGAATGGCGATATACCAGATGAATAGGATTTCAACTTTAGAGCAACAAAGTTTATTTAAAATTATCCATATCCATACTAACTTTTCTTTATCTTGTCAAGTTCGTAACAGCACAATGCGCATGTAGCAAACTAGGAAACGTGCATGGTATCTAACGACGTAAAGCCGTATTGATTTATTTAAGTTGGAAGATGATCTCGGGCGACCTGTACGACTGTGATACCGTGCGTGTGGAAACCTCAGCAGGCCTCTTTCACTGTTCGCATCTAATTGTCACTCTACCATTGGGCGTACTGAAGGAGTCAGTTGACCTGTTCGTCCCGCGTTTGCCCTCAATGAAAACCCAAGCTGTTGACAGATTGCAGTTTGCCACTGTTAATAAACTGTACATACTTTTCAATAGACCTGTATTAAATAAGGTAAGCTGAACTCTATATGAACAAAAATATCGAGGATGTTTAATAGCAGCGGCAGACTCGTAGGACATGAAACATTTAAACCGATTCGGGTGGACATACTTCAGAATACAGAGAGAAATAGGTTGATATATGTGTAACAAAGTGCATTTATAGTAATATGTAAAGCAGGCAAACCTGTAGAAAAATACCTGACAACTTGTACAATACATACTCTCATTGGAGCTTTACCGGAAGTGCAAAACACCGCTGAGGTGTTTTGATTAATTTTTATATTTTTTCTGACTGTCTGATACCATCGGTGCCATCAGGAGATTGATGAGGTGCTTTGCCTGTGGGAACCTTGCGACACGTATATTGAGTCAGAGTGGTGGAAAAAGATTTACTCATTTAGCAAATTATCGGACACTATTCTCTGCTGTTGGCTGTCAGGACTCGAGGCCGAATTGTTGGAGCATCTATCCGACGATGAAGTGATCACGCGGTGAGCATTTTTCCGATAAGCTTTTGCCAGCGTTATCTCGTTCTACTTGGTCTATTATTATGTTAGTCTTTTTCTTTAGCCTGAGTCATTTCACGCCTTATCATACACCAATTTCGTCTTGTGCAATTGACCAGAAGTCAGATGTGGCATTAGTTAACCTAAAATCATTAACATAAACTGTTCCCACCTACAGAATTACTGAAGTTCTACGAGGATTTCTGGCCGACCCATACGTACCACGTCCAGTGCAGGTTGTTTGCTCAAGGTGGAAAACAGATCCATATAGTCGTGGTTCGTATACCAGCATCAGCTCTCAGGCCTCACAACAGGACATCGATAATCTTGCTAAGCCTCTGTACACCGGACCATTTCAGAGTAAGGTTAGTACTCAGAACAGCATATGGAACGTTACGTAAATAAAAAAAAACATAACGAAATATAGTGAAAGAGTTGTAAGAGCAGAAAACGAAGATCACGGACCGGAAAATAGCGTGTATAACGCAATCTTCTACGAAGTAGAAAAAAGTGAGAAAAAGTAAGAGCTTTTTCATCATGAAAATACTGTTGTTTTTATAATGCGATTTATACGCTTAAATCAGCCTTCGGTCAAATATCTTTAGAAAAGCTTTGTTTCTGGTGACACTGATAGAAGCTTTGGTAACAAGCTGGCCCTTAAAGGTCTGGAAATACTATGTAACCTGTGTCATCCTGTTTTGTTCTAGCCAAAGGTCTTGTTTGCAGGTGAGGCAACTCACAGCACTTTCTACTCAACGGCCCACGGAGCCTTTATCTCAGGTCAAAGGTGCGCCAACCTTCTGACGACCGGCGATCCTGAATCATGTGATTTTCCCGAAGGTTGGATTAATTCTTCATCGCGAAGATCCAGTACTGCCGACCTATCGTCATGGCTTAAAGGAATCGACATCCGAAGACAAATCCGCTAAGGTCTAAACCAGTTACAAATGCGATATCTAAAGAGTCCAGTCATTTAAAATCTTACTGTGCATGTTCTAGCACATGCTTGTATATAACTGTACAGAACGAAGTAGCCGGTACAAGAAGCTGATGAGTCACAATATTACTCCTCGATTTTTTATGCATTTCAAGGTAATCGGCTATAACAGGATATTTCTTTGTTTACAACGTACTTACTGTGAGCAGGCATTTTCAACTTATTCGTATTAAAAAATAGGGAAATCAGCGTTACATAAATGGTTAGATATCATGTCTTTCCACTGCATCATATATTATGTATGTGTCTCAAACTGTAGTATAATATTTATTTCCTGCTAGTTTTTATGAGTATCTAATTGCTTGTCTCTAACACGTTTAGTAGATGTGTTTTTCCTTCTTAGGGCGATTGTATTAAAGTAGAAGTCATTCTGAGAAATTCAACTAAAAGGAATATCAACCGCAGACCAGATATTATGTATGTGAACTTTTACAAATGGGATGAAGACGCGCAACACATGCAGCCATCCTAAAACCATTGCCAAACTATTATTATGTAAGCTTGTTGTGGGTACAAAAAACTTGTGTGTTTGAAGTGAGAATGAACGATAATACTTGTTATTATCTTTTAGTAAAAATTTTTTATTTTATAAAAGCTTAAACCTCGTAGCGTCTATACTACTCAATAAACAGTGATATCTGCAAGACGGTGGAACTCAACTTCGAATATGAATAAATATCACAAGTAGGAAGTGTGTGGATATTTATGTTATTTAGCCAATGGCTCTTCTTGGATCCGTTTCGAAAGCGGCTATTCTGGTATAGGTATCGTGCTCGTCCACCTTCTGCTATTTTTAGTGGTAGTAGCCTGATCTATTACATTCGGTTCCGTCGAATTGTGTAGCTTGTGTACTAATGTCCACTTGTATTCTAACAGGTACAGATAATGCTTAGGCGCATCAGACATTGAAATTATCATGGTGCAATAACCACATCTCGTGTAACAATAACTTTGTGTAAGAAGAAATGATAAACGGCAATTATATGCAAGCATAATCGGACATTTATCGCTTCCTTGTTAGTTAGTTCGTTTTTATTTTTTTCCTCCTGTAAATTTGGTAAGCCAGATTATCATTTTTACAAAGACATTTCCGTATTATGGTTTCAACCAGAGGCCGAATTTACGGTACCTACGTACTGTGATCACACAAGAGTAACGGCCGTCTTTGAAAATGGTCGCACTCCTAGCGTCTTTTTTATTAGGCACACCGCGCACGACGGAATGCGAAGTAATCTGTCGATCATTACAAACAACATTAACAGCTTCACTGTGACGTAAATGCCGCTAGACGAAATCATTTATTATGCTTCTTTTTCCGATTTCTAAAAATTGCGTAAATGCCAACATCATTGTCTGAGCAAACTTTAAGTAAAATAGTATTCATATTAGGGTTGCCTTAATGTCTATACATGCTAGCCAAAGCTGTAGTGAAATAGTCAACGGGTCTCTGCCAATAGAATGGCGCGAATCAACAGAAACCAAATCGCTATCGTGTATTTAGCACAAGCGAGTTCCATTGTTCACCATGGTGCCATTTGGCCTATGTCCGTTGCTCTTCAGCTGTCGTTGCGACTAACACTGTTGTCGTGGTTGTTATCATCGTTGTTGCCACTACGAGTGCCAGCAGCAACAGCATAGCGCAAGGGGATTACACGAACCCAGCTCGTGCAAAGGGGATGATACGAGAGACCTTCTCGCCTTTTTTTTGAAGATTAGACTGTACAGTGTGGCGATATAATATGCAAGCAACCGAGAGAGCCATTGCAGTGATACACACAGTCAGGGAGGAATCCAGCTAGGGTAACCGAATTACATTTTGCTTGCTGGGAAAGAAAACATGGCTAGATCAACGCAGCCAGATTAAGTGAACGAAGAGAAAGAGTACATCGTTCAGAAAAGGCGTCTGACAGGCCCAGACATAGTCATTTTACTGTCTTCTAATCGTCTGCACCGGGGCAGCTAACATGGCCCATTAGCCAGGCTTAGCGAACCGGTAGCTTTTGTCATCTGAAAACAACAAAAGAAGGAACAAATCGCCAAGTCGACACGGAATGCCAGCTTATCTATAAAGATCAATCAAACGTAGACTAATCTCTTGCTGATCAGCATTTTTCGCAATGAACTGATGGACGCCAGATAAAGACCATAGTTCACAAGATATTGACCAGAATAATTCGAATGAGGCATGCCAACTACAATACAACAATACAATGATGTCAAGTAAAGTAACACCACAAGAATATTAACAACATTTATAGTTTAACAGCATCTATAACAATACCAAAAGTATTACGATAATTTGTATACAGTTTGGTAAGACATTACGTATTTTCCCCTGTGGTAGCTTATTACGTTTGTGTGTAGGTGTGTGTATATATGTTAAGTGGCGTTAAAATAGAATACGTTGTTCTTTCTCAAGTATCATCCAAACAGGCAATTAAGATATTACTAATAAAAGCCAGTAAGACAGACGCAGAAAAATACTGAAGAAAACATGTGAAAGAATGTGTCTGACGATGGCTTGACCATGCCGTTAGAGCCCGCGCAAATTTTAAGTGAAAGCAAAAAAATAGTTATTAAAAAAGGTATTTAGATCTAGTAAATAGATGAGATCTAATTAGGGATCTAATTATAGCGAAAAATTTAATTTATCTGTTCTGTCTGTCCACCCACTGTTGATCTACTTTAGCGATTGCCTTTTCTAGTTCAACATTAACTTACGAAGAAGGAGTCTATAATCAATATGCGCATACTTGCACGAAAGAGTAGTTTAAGTAATCTAATTGAACGAGATAATTACCAGGTGTCTGGCTAGAAAAGAAAGTATAAAAATGTAGATTGTGTTTCCAGTGAAGGAAAGACACAAAATAGAAATAAAAGAAATAAAGAAATTCATAGTGAATGTACGAATAGACCCAGCGGCGCAGCATCTATTTTCTGGCGAAAATGATGGCCTCAGGGGGCTCTTTTTAAGAGTAAAAGTTGTTTCAAGAGTGGATAATTGTAAATGGTTGGACAGTTCAACTTTGTTTACACAACAGCAGTTGAAAAATAAAGTAAATAAATGAAAAAATAACTAAATGTTATTTTTATACATTGTTTTTTCACTGCGTGCTGGCTTTACTAGGGTAGAGATGAATAAGCGTGTTCGGTAATACTATGCACGTGCTACGTTTTCCTTAAGGTTTACGTAAGTCGTTCCACTTGCGCCTAGATACATCCATGAAAGGCTGTTTACTGAACGTGTGATTATTGTATGCGTATTTTAAAAGTATCGTTTTCTAAATGCAACTGCATATCATATGAAAATAAATGAATATGTCCAAGGTTTTCTACAATTCTATTATATTTGGCGAGAGTTTGTCACGTAGAAAGCAGAATATTGCAAGATTCGTGTTTTATATATGCATATTACGCATATATATACGCGCAAGATAGATATATATATATGTATAATATATGTGTTATAACAAATGTTTTCAAGTTTTGACCAACAGTGTGCACATTGCCAAAAAAGGTATTTCTAGGTAGATATGTTTAAAGTCACGTACATCAAATATTAGAGTCATTCGTTGACGTCATTCGAAAACAGACTTGCCAGTAACAGATGTGCTAAGATTGGTGGAGTGTGTTTATTCAAACCTATAAGACGTCTCGAGGATTAGTAGAATTTATAAAAAAAAAAAAGCCATAGTTTGTAATTTTATTATAAAAGCATAACTGCTGCCTAGGTCCATAAAATGGGTTGTGCTTTATACAATCGATGTACGTTGTCGGAAAAAATGGTGGTTGTGTTGCAAGACAGACACGTGAGTAGACATCAAATTGCCAAGGAACTAACATTTATTACCAAACAGTTTCAAACGATTTAAAAAAAGCTCTGTGCAATAGGAAGCTTGACGTTTGGGTGCCGTCTATGTTTTCATATAGCGAAACCCTAGAAAAACATAACAAGATCGAGCGATTTATAAAGCGGTTGATCACTGGTGGCGAAAAATAGATCATATACAACAATAGTGTGTAAGTGAAGAAAAAATTAAACAGTGTTTCCGCAATCTGTAATACAGCACCCTGCACTGACAGAAAGCGATCCTATGTATTTGATGTAACTGGAAAGGAATTAGTTGCGGTGTGGCAAAACAATAGATTCGGACCCCTTCTGTCGACAATTAGCAAAATTACAAGAAGCCATCGAAAAAAATTAACTAATTGAAACTAGTGATTAGGAAAGGCGTTGGCTTTCACTATCATTGTTCCAGACGAAATACACTCTCAGCTACCCGGTGAAAATTGAGAGAACTTGGATCATCAATTAAAATATAAAAAATATTTAATAAGCAATGGTCAATACTTTTTGGACAACTTAATACCCAATCGACGGGTTAATCGTTAGTTGCTAGCAAGCGAATCTCGCTAGCACTGCAAATTTGATGACAGAGATCATTGATATATATATATATATATATATTTACGGTAATGGCAAACACTGTCTAACGCAATATTAGATGTAAAATCTTCAGCATTTAAGAAAATGACAAAGTAAAGACCAATGAACTCCTTAAAAGTCCGTATTACGTTTTGTCATAGACCAATGTTGTCGCAAAGCCTAAATTTTTGCCGCCAGCAATAGTGTCCGACTATCTGTTAGAAGCCTAGATCTATGTAATGACGATCTGAGGTAATCAAAAACAACAAAGATGAACAAATGTTTACATGAGTACCATTAATATGTAGTACTTTATTATACATCCCTATATATATATGTTTGAATAATATATATATAATTTGATTCCATACTATATTACTATTACCACTTATATACATATATGTATTACTCATTAAAGATTATATTCATAACCTATTTTACATAAAGATAATAGTAACCATCATCATCATATCACCATAAAAACTATGATAATATCTGTAATATATATATATATACTAATTAACTGCGTTATCGGGAACCTAATGCCATTAATGAAATAGATGAATTCCTCAACTACTCCGTTATTTCCCTGGTCTGCAGAAAAGTAACTGCATACCACAATGAAGAGAATAGATTAGTGCATTTACTCATCCGATTCTGCCTATACTTATGAAAAGCAAAATTCCAAAAAAAGTTCCAACGGCTATGTAAAGCTAATGTTTTGTTCCTATTTCTTCTTTGTACAAACGTCAACTAGCTATATCTGGTGAACTGCATACAACGCATAATGGGAATGATGAATTGTACAAGTGAGCCAATGCTTAGAATGAGTCTCTTCCATGAGCGCCCTGAACTTTAGCGGCATGCTGGATAAACTGCGCCACAAGGTCGGGACCTTCTTGCATCGAAGGTAAATCACCTGTAATTTCCTTGTTCTGCACCAATGGCAGAAAGTTAACGACAAATTCAGCTGTATATGGTGGACCAATAACATCGAGTAACTCAGTAACAAAATATCGAATTAGCGAGATGTCTGTGTCTTGCCGTTGGTATCTAGCCGTAATATACCGTAATACGGGAAGTACGCACCCGCGGCATACCAGATGAATCATACGATCGAGTAACATTTTTCGAATTTCGATCAAAACCAACACGTCCAGCTCGGCATCAAACGGCTTTTCAAACAAGTCACTGTAGAGCCGTAGTAGACGGTCATGCAGAGTGGGTTGACAAATAGCTACCTCATCCAACAACGCAAAATGCATAGGGACGTGTTCCGTGTTTAGTTTAAAATAGGAGGCCTCATTGACGACATACCGAGCCCAGTGGATCGCAGCCAATGCCATAACAGGTAACTGGACGCAGTCGTAAAGCGTAGCCAGGTCGCAGATCTTAGGCTCTGCACAAATCGAGCACATCTGTTCTATGGACTCCTGCGTTCTCGACAACTCGTCTTTGTTGAGAACGGGCGCTCGGCGAGGGCCTTTTTTTGTCGTCTGCTCAAACACGCTAGCGGCATATGCCAGCAAAAAGATGTATTTTGGCTTGTGGTCTGGATTGATTCGTGAGCCTGGCTTGAACAATGTATCAAGTAAAAGTTCCAACAGCGTTGGCTCACGTATCAAATCCACAGGTGGTGGATCATTTGATTTATAGAGATTGTACAGTATCGTTACGTCGGCTGGATTTAAAGCATTTTTACTCAACATTGCCGCCATCGCTTGGCACGCTTTAGGGTGCTTCTTGAGGGCGCCGCTTAGTGTCATTGCAATAGGTGTGGTGTCGCGCGTTGGTCGACTGCGTTTCCGAATCTCGTGAGCGAGCCGTTTGGCCGACGCGCCTCCTCTAGACATACCTTCAAGGCTTAGTGCATGTAGTAGGCACTGAGCATACAGATAGGTGTGTTCCCCATGGCCGATCAGCTTTGCCAGCTCGTTTAATCGATCTTCATCTGGGGGCTTCTCAAGACAGCCACTTAGCGCTGTTCTCAAGACCCTTGAAAACACCTCGAGCTGTTGAGAAGCTGTAGAGATTGATGTGATCTCAGCCTGGAAACCAGCGTCCGATATGAGTTTGATAGTGAAATTAAGCATAAGACAGTCCGGATATTCTTCGGCCAGCCTATATATTAGCTTGCGCCATGCGGGGTGATCAATCATCTGTGCTAGCCATGCTGGAGTTTCACCCTCGCCGCCAAAGATAGCAGCGTCTGCCTTAGATGGCTCAAAGTGACGCACCAACATATTTTCTAACTGTGACTCGACCAGTGATTGTACCTGAAATTAGAAAAGCGCAGTCAATACAGTTATTAAGATGCAGATCATTTGTAGAGACATCTATCTCTCTAATGTTGTTGATAAACGATGAACACTAAATATAATTAGCGCATACTTATTACACTATGGAAGATAAAATAACCTCATTATATGCAGGTTAGCAAGTCAAAGTCAGATTGTATTATATGTTTCATATTTCGTTACTTCAGCGCTGTAATCACCCCAGAATGTTTTATTCGTTTACAATGTATAGTTACAATATATTCACCAATCTATTTGGTGCGACAATGTATACATCAAATTAATTAGAATTTTAATTAATGAAAAATTAATTTTTAATTAACTAAAAATACACCAGGAAAGCAAATTTCTCGAAGAGGCCTAGGGAGTACAAATGGTGCTCTTGGAAATGCACAAGCTTGTCATCTCCTCTATGAGTCAAACGGTGCTACAGATCCGCTTGACATGACTTGCTTCGATTATGTGTTTACACACTTGATTGATTTCCATCCCGGACATAATAAGCCACTCCGCCAAAAGGTTGGCTGTCTGCGCTACGGCATGATAGTTGCCGATAAGCATCTCAACAGCGCGTTCGGGATCGCCTCCAGCTTGAAGGAAATCTTTGAGGGTACTGAATATTGACGGTTCCATGATCGAATCCCGGGCGCCTAAACGGGCCTCGATCTCTTCGGTGGACGACCTCGATGGAGAGACCATCGTGGCCGTGGCACGCCTGTTTTGAAAGAAAACAAATAAAGTCGCATACTATGTAATTTTTTATCTCTTTATTTAAAAAAAACACAATTTTTTTGCTCGTGACTTTACATTACTATTAATTACATTTGACAATACAAATGGAACCGTATGCGCAGAACAACAAATCCGATTTTTTCGTTGTAAAGTCCCCAAAACTGCTGCTAAAAAAACTTACTCATCGTTTCAGTCCACATGCATTGAAGTAATTAATAATCAACACACATTTCACTACTTTGTCAAACGATACAGGGAAATGACAATCAAAATATATAGGACAGGTAACCTATTGTAGTTGTCTGAAGCCGCAGAACTGTTGAGCTCAAAAAAATGTAAGTAAGTGCGATCAGTGCACAGATTAACGGATTGTCAAAGATTACTGCTGGCTCATTTGAAGCACTGCTGAACGGTAGCGTCAGCTGTGAAAATAGAAATTAAAATAAAATAGCAACAAGCAACCTTCGAGCTTGTAAGACAGAGGGTCGAGCGGCTCTTTCATTGCTAATCCTCAATCTGCCAGTCGTTTTGTGCTTCTGAGGGAAAGTAACTCTATTGCCCCAGATCGACTTGACTGTAAAAGATCAAATCAGACAACCAACTATCGACAGCGCCCTAAGAAAGGCGATACATGGACGCAGCGATCTAACATTTGAAATTTGCTCCATTAACTTTTTTAGTGTGTGGCGTCCCTTAAAGAAATACCTAATGGTAATTGGAATAACAAAATGTAATGAAAATAACGTCGTTAAAAAGAAATTCGACTAGCACATTAAACGTGTGCGATTTTCAGAGGTTTCGAGGTCTTTGTAACCAGCTTCCCATGATATTTCCATACAATCAAACTACTAACTAACTCCCGAATGCTCACAAGAAAATAAGTAATTGTACGTTGTCCTTTATCGCTGTCATGTCTAATTGTTATTCGAACAGTGGGGGGCGTACAATGGCTGGCATATGTTTTATGTATTTCTTTGCCAGTTTTCACAAAGGTTTGCGGTTGACTCTTAGATCCGTAAGAAGCTGATAAAATTTATTTATTTTATCTAGCCTTCTCCAATTACGTACCTTGTCCGTGTACAGAACGTATACTATCTAAAATGCCAAACTTTGTCACAAGCACATTAATTGTATGAGGCCGCGTATTACAGGGCTCGGATTTACGGCCAAAACAACTGTTCGGTGTATCGGCACAACGAGAAAATTTAGCAAATGTCTGGTATTTCGTTGCAAAATACCAATTCGCTTTGGGCGGAAAGCGATACTAGTCGCTCAGCTGGGCCCAGGTGCAGTCTTGTGTGATGGCTATAAATGGCCAAACCTAACATGCTTTCGTATTAGCATTAAATATACGGAGCTTGTTAAACATGAGTTCAGTTAAGCCTAACAAATGACTGCTGAGCAAGGACTGTTGTTGTATTATTTGGTATGAGCTCAATTGTTGCCGTGAGCTTCAACTGTTTAGTCCAATACAAGTAATAACCAATACCCCCCCCCCCCCCCCCATCAGACTAAGAATTATATAATTCGACTCGAACATTAGTGCAGAACACACGGACCACCACAACGGCGGTTAAGTGAATAGTTTGGACTTCATATTTTAATTGTCAAAAATGAGCATACTCCAAGTTTCACAGTTTTAACATATCAAACTTTGCGCTAAAATAGGTATTATTTCAGTTTTCTCAACACGAACTTCGGGAAAGTCTGAGTGGTATGATAATTTCGCTACATATTGTTTACTAATAATAGAATTTCAAACAAGAAATACAAACGCAAGCATGAGCGGCCTACTGCGGGGAAAAACAATTTAGATGTTGCTCATCTCATCATGATATATCTCTCGCTTAAACGATGAAAACCCATTGTTACCCCTTCAGAAATTCATGCACGGCGCTGAGTAATGATTACGGCTATATCGTTTGGGCAACATTGTTTTATTATTGACAAGTATCTGCACAGGATTAGGTAGTATGATAATACATGAATTTCAAATTTTCCATACTTTCTGCTATTTGAACGGTCGAAACTAGAATTTTTTTTCATAAAAGGATGTGAAAGATAAGCGCGACAATTTATTATAACTATAACACACGTGTCGCGTAGAAGTTCATGTTTGCATAGTGCAGCATCAGCTACCGACTTACTCGCAATCTGCCGTTTGAATTTCAAAACTATATATATCTAAAAATGTGTGATGAGCCCTGAGACACGTTCTCACCGTCTGACGCTATTGTTAAGTGTTGCAGGCGTACTAAGCCTGAATTAGGTTAATTGAACTTAAGCCGTGGCTAGTTATCAAGGCCGATCAAGGATGTCAGCGGCTTTTCTTGCCACAAGCTCAAATAAAGATTCACTGGGATAGTGAACTTCAGCTGGCTCACAGTCTCCAACTAATTGCAATATGATCAACGATTCTTTTCCCGCGAGAGTGAATAGCTAGGAAAAGGATTTCGACGTTGACCTACTATTGCATTTCATATAACTGCGAGAACTGAATTACCTGTAGGGTACATATAAAAAAAGGAAATATGACGTTGTAAAAAAATGAAGTCAGCCGATGAATGGTAACTGTGTGAACTACTATGACAAATATACGTGTACAAAATTAAGGCGCAGTCCTGGTAATCGAACGTGCAGTGTAACCCAGGGCTTTCTTTGCACACTGATGAAACTGCTAAGCTGTGAGAAAAACTAGCAACCAAAAATTTCAGAACCTCAGCACGGGATTAAACTATCTTACTCTTGCAAGTCCAGCGTAGCATCCTGTCGTCACATCGACGTTCATCTTAGCATTACATTAATTTGAGGTGGTGTGATACGGGATACACGCAACATACCAAGAAGAGGGTATTGAGCAAAAAGGATCGTCAGGTTATCAGAAGTATTAAAACATTGTACTTCAATCATTACATATGTATCGATAAATTCATAACGTTTGCCAATATGTGATGCCCGACATGGAGAGAAGTACTGTTGTTTTTTTAATTTAAAAATCTTGGCTAAGAATTGTTGCCTCTGACAGTTCAGATTCTCAAGCTTTTGCTTTTTAAGGAATTTCACCTCGCCGTTCGTAGTCTCTAGCAACTTCATCCAGGGTGTATGACTTGTGTAAACTAGTGAGCTCTCATACTCGAGAATAACAGGCGGTGTTCCTGGAATAAACGGCCACGCATTCCAGTTGACCTAACAGAATCAAGGATAATTTCTGTACTGCTCCGGTTGCTATAATGGATCGTCGAAGCCTTGAAGTAATAGTTTAACCGATTAGTACGATATTCTACCTAAAATAATGTAGTGGCCTCAACAAGTATTTACATCTCGATATTTGTTGAGCGTAGTTTTCATTTGAGTGTCAAAAACATAATCCTCCTAAAACAAATAACCCTTTACTATGGTCTGTAGTATTCATTTCGTCGAAGGTCTCTTTTTTGTCCGCGAAACAGCAATCGGAACTGGACGGTGTGAAGAGATTTGTACTTAAAATGCTTGATACAAGCTAGAAAATAATTTATTGGCTTCATTAGAGGACGTAAAGCTAAGGTGCCAAATGTTTGAAATCATTGGTAAAATATAAACCATCTTGGCATATCGGATGAATATTAGTAATAAGGGATAAATGGTTATATATATATATAATAAAAAAAATAATTTAATATTAATAAAATTAATTAAATAGAAAAACAACTGGCAATTTCGAAGTAGACCTTAGTTATTTGGTCCATGTGGTGTGTTAATGGATTGATAGCAGCAAAGAAACAAAGCTGCTGGGTCGTTCATTTCAGTCGGGTAACCAATAACTAAAACATAATTATAGAAGAACTTACCAAAAAGTAACGGGGTAAATGACACAGGGTGAAAGAATGACTAGGGGAATAAAATGTGACTTATAACGGAATAGTTGCTACAGGTTAATACAATTAATACCACAAATATTCAGAAGAACTGTAAGCGGACGGCGGTAGAAGTATTGGTTCGTGATGGAGCCATAGTTTATGTTAATTTAAGTGTAACATCAACAATACGGTTGGGTAAAACTGCTGTAACATTCTAATGGAAGAATGCTATATGCGGGACAGGGTAACTGCAACAGTATGTATTACTAGGTGATTGGCTGAATCAGGTCAATAGGATTACTGTAACGGATTAGCTGCAACCAAATGGAATTGGTGCTAAGCATTTTAGGACGATTGCTTTAACGATATGGCTCAAACCCCGCGTTATTAAAGGCATTTTTTATTGTCATATGGGTTTGAGGTGCCTATTGTGAGATGCACATGTGCACATACAATATATGTATATAATAACAACGATTCTACGGGTAAGGTCCGCGCACCTTATTACTTTCATAATAGCCCGTAAAGGGACTTCCAGAGCCGGAAATTGTCAGGCACTCCAGTCACTCAAGGGTCAAGCGAATAAGGAAAACCTTAAAATTTGAAACAGCCCTGAAACAACGTTTAATGGCAATACCACACGAAAGGACTCGAAATGTTTATTAGGTTTAAAAGCAAGCATAGGCAACTTTGCTTCATGCTGTGAACAGATCAGCTGAGGCAATATTGTGTATCATCAAGTACTGAACTTCAAACACAAAAATACTAATTTCAGCAGTTGAAACTAAATCTTGACAGAAACTTATAAACTAGTAATTAGCTTAGTTTTGTTTATGGTGTATATGCGATCAGGTTAAATATTTTGATAATTTCAGTAAATAATAATAATTTCTTGGATTTATGTTACCTGCCTTGAAGATTGAAGACCTCTTAGTTAAATTCACACTACTACTACTTTCCTAATCATATCACATGCTGTAGTAGTGTCTATTTCAGTTTAACGTGAAACCGATTAAATTGCTTTAGTAAATAAAAACTTATGCAAGAAACTGGTTTTGTCAACGATTGACCTATTCATGAATTTCAACGACCACTAAAACACCTTTTAAGGTACGAAATTCTAGTAGGATATTTAAAATCTTAGATTAAGATAAAGTAATTGTTTTTCAATCAGCGATTCGTTGATGTCATTAAATTCTTTTTAGCAATTTAAATTTTGAAAAACGCAACTACTTTTTCTATTAAACGAATATTCATTTAATTATCTGTAACAATTACACTTAATCAAATAGACTATACAGACGTATGTGAATAAATATACAAGTACCGTGCGTTCGCTTTCTATAGATATAGCTATTTGTTCTTACCTAAATTCAATGTATATCGATTTCAATGTACCCGATTGAACAGTTCAACATGGCCCTGAAATAATTAGTAGAAAAAGATCTTTTATCGTAGCCTTTGTTAAAATGTTTATTGATCAAAACATTTAGCACTACTTATCATAACTGACCTCTCTCAGCACCCTTTCCTCCGCACTAGACACACGGAGAGAACCAATTTTGAATTGTTTCGTAAAAGCCTGATCTCAATGCAATTCGCATTGAGATCATATTTTTACGTACGTAGATTTTAAGCATTGGGATGAAGAATCTTCTCTACTTTATGCCTTGTCACATACATCATGCCTGGCTTGAGTTTATCAAAAAGATCATTTGCAAATTGGCGTTTCTCGGGCCAGTCGGATAGATCTTGGAAAAGGGGTCCTACAAACTTCATCCGTCCGACCACTGCAAGGAAACAATGAACGGGCTCTATAATCCCTTCCCATCGCGCTAGAAGTCCGAGTCGCAGCCAACGGAAACGAACTTCCGAATTAATTATCTTGTCCATCTCGTATAATGATGAAAGGTGCGCCACCTGAAAAGACGCAGTCAAAAGCATAAAATATAATTTTACGCATATTAGACAATACGTCAGCTGCTTGGATATACTTCCTTAATTTGATATATTGTTAAGATCTTGTTCCAGAACTATTGAATATGTGCAGATCCACTGGCAAAAGTAGCAGGCACAAAGTATGGCAAGAAAATTTTAATGCCTTATTCGCGCCAAAAAAAAATAAAGCAGAATATTTGGCTACTAAACCCAAAATTTGTTTTTGTAAGCTGTTCTACACAAAAACCTAAAAATAGCTACGGCAGTAGGCCAAGATCCGCAATCTTGCTACCTTTTCCACACTAAGCGGTTTCATTTCAAGAAGCTTCGCGAAGAACTCCTGCTTCTGGATGTTATTTAGAGTCACAAACTCCTCTTTTGTAAATGATGTCACCTCGTTATCTGAAGCTTGTAGCCACTTTTGGCAAAGGGCATGAGCTGGAATCCCCAGGCAGCTCTTGTATTCAGGAATAACTGGTGGCATTCCCGGACTGTACAGCCACGCGTTCCAGTCAACCTGTTGAACGTAAGAGTTTATTAGAATAACTATTATTGTTTCTAAATGTAATTATCGTAATTTTTCCCTATGGCTGTATTTAACAGTTTATTTATGGTAGGTTTTCCTCTTGGTAATAAATATTTCATCATTCCCATTCGGTTATCGTTCATAGCTTTAACGATGCCAAATTCAAGGAGTACTTTAAAAAATGCTCAAAAATTTCAAAAAAAAAGTCTGATTTTAAAAAAAGTAGTAAAACAGTATTTTGCATAGGATTATAGTTCAGCCTATGAACAGTGATTACTAAACAAAATTATCCTTCTTACCCAAAGCAAAGCTGAAAATTAGACTTAAGACAATTTTAATATGCATTGCTAGCACATGCAGTCGATATAATAGTCCCACGGAAAATAGTTTGGCGGAGGAATGGTCGTGTCAAGCAAATACAAGAACAAAAAGGCTCCAATTATTAACTTCTCCGATGAAATAACAAGAGTAGTTTTAGCTCAGAATTAAAGGACTTATCATGAAACAGGCGAACCCTGTCTTTCTTCATAAGGAAATGTGTGGCGTTTTTGTTGAAATTTAACATCAGCGACTATATATTAGATTTATCAATTTGAAGTTACAAACGTGATGTTTGCACTAGGTTTCGTAAATCCCACCGTTTTTAAGGACGATCACCAACACCCTATAAAAAATACTACATGCTACATGCACGAAATTTACAACAATATTGTGATCGTAATATACAGATTTAAACTTAAATAAATTTGAAAAAGGAAAATTATGTACTTGAGTTGACCTTTTACTATCTAGAAGAGACTGTCTGCGTGTACTCACTTTATCAAGGATGTCTTTTTTGTTGGCAAAGAATTCGTACAGGAACGATTTCCAGTCGTCGGTAACGATCGATTTATACTTAAACCGCTCAACATAGGCTTTCAGGAAAGCATCCAGAGAATCGGCACCTAGCAGTGTCTCGAGGTAGTACAGGAGGGTATGTCCTTTTTCATAAGGAACAGTGGAGAACGAATCATCAGGGTGCACACCTTTCAGATCTACAACAAGCTTCGTGAGCGCATTATCAGCTCCTGCAAATTAAAAAAAATAGTAACCTAGGTTGTTCTCATTATTCCACACTAGAAAAACAGACTCATGCAGTGCTGGATTCAATTGTTCGAGAACCAGACGGCCGTTTGAACAGACTGGTCGTTTTATTTGTAGTGCAGCATTACTCTTATTGATTACAACACAAGACAAAAACATGATTTTGAGATGCCTGATCATTCTGCTGAACAAAATGCACAAAACATTTTGAAAAATGAGTCGTATATACCACTAGGACGTTCAAAGTGCAACTAAATATTACAGTGTTTATTTGTACTTTATGAACAAACTTAATATCTACTCGAGCGTTGAATGGATAAGTGTTTCTCACCCATTGTGTTTATTGTGTATTGAAGCTGCCTAAGCCCTTCTTGAGCACAGAATTGTCTTCGGGACTCGCCAAACATCCGACCGAGGATTTTCCGCTCAACATACATTGTGAAACCTTCATTAAGCCAAAAATGTTCGAAATTTTTATTAGTGACAAGGTTTCCGGTCCACGAGTGCGATATCTCGTGAGCTACGACGTCTGCAAGTGACTTATCACCAGCCAGTGTTGTAGGCGTCATGAAGGTCAAGCAGGGATTTTCCATCCCGCCGAATGGAAACGATGGCGGTAGCACGAGAATATCGTATCTTCCTAAATTAAAACATGTAAATGGCAACTAGGTTAATATGAAACTGTTCAAAAAACGGTCGTAAGCAGCAAACTGAATTAAAGTTACAAATTATTTTAAACCTTTTAAAAAATACAGTCTTCAATAAGAATCTTCAGTGTTATAGGAGGCATACGTAAGAAATAATGAATATGAATATGCAAACCGTTAAAAATAATTATGGTACTTTACATAATCTATCAACACAACTCAAATTCAAACACACTAACCCCAAACATAAGGACCCAATAGGTCTTCTGCGGTTTTGATCATCTCTTCAGTATCGGCAAAATCCACAGCAGCTCTATCAACATATTCCTTTTCAGACCACATATCAGTGCGTGGACTAATCGTTCTGTAAAAATGAAACATCACATATTTGCCTCTTTACAGTGCCTGTTTACAGATACGCCTTGGTACGATATTACCAACAAACGGTCTACATCTTGACTATAACGATATCACTAAAAGCTAGATTACCATCAGTGCATCTAATCACAATTATTTCGAGTTGGTCTTTTTAATCCCGTTACATTTGTGTGTTCGTTATAATTGTTAAATAACAACTGAAAGAATTTTCTCTCAGCAGCAAAAATACAAAATATTTTTTTAAAAATCAAGCATCCCGGGTATAATATTCCTAAAAGGCTAAGACTTAGAATTTATGAAGTCATGAATTTATCGGTAAGCGTTGTTGAATGGGCCCATCCAGAAAGATCAACAAAAAATAAAAACTGTTAATAAATACATTTCCATTTCACTACACTATACAATACGCTACCTGGACTCAAGATCTCCCACAGCGAGAGCGAGTAGGTAGATCGGAATAGGAATCTTTTGCTCGAACAGGACAACCTTACTTCCATCAGGACCGGGTTGTTCCCCAGTTTTAACTGCCGATACCAACTAGAATAGCAACAAAGCTTTATTGATGTTTTTAGGTTTCAGAACTTGGTATCTATAGGTAAGGTCGTACTAGTTCATAATTTAGTATTATCCGGAAAAGTTATGCTTGAAAACGTACGTGCATAAACACGTAGCAACTTCTGAGAAAAGTACTAAAAAAAAACAATTTCGGCGGACATTCATCATAAATAGTTAGCAAAAACAAACCAATATTGACCTGTACAATCTACATCACTAAAAAACTTACCCACTTAACTTGACTTCTCTGCACGCCTAATATAAGAATATGGCTAAATATCCTTGCGTTTCGTTGGACTATTCCAAAATCAAGGCGTCATAGTGATCCCAGAGAAGAAAAAATATTTGATCAAAATTAACAGATAATGCTACTTACTGGCACCATTTCCTGAGGAACCTGAATCCTTACAGTAAAGTTAGCTTTTACGTTTGGTGAGTCCTGACAGGGGAGTAATGCTCTGCAATAATCGAATTTCGAAAATTCAATAAGATTAATTTTTGCTTTACTTCAAATAGGTGAACACTCGAAGTGCAAGTATTGTATCTTCAAAAAAAAAAAAGATATGTTCACGCTAAATAGACCGCTTGATTTATTGCTAAAAAATGGACTGTTGATTCCACACTCCGATTCGAACTGGTATAATTATAGTTAGGGCCACTTCTAGTAACCCTAACCATAATCACTATGCCTAAATATAGGTTGCACATTTTAAACGCGTGCAAACAAAAACGAAATCATAGTGCATTCCAATTGTTAATTAACAGACATAGGCAATCTACCGTGAATGGATGGCCTCTGAGTGTGAGTATACATAGGGCTGTCGCTTTCCCGCCGTCTGGTCCTTAGTCATCCACTGAAGCGCGGATGACGTAGAAGAAGTCTCATAAAGAACACGGATCTTCGCTTGCTCTCCGTTGGGTGGAAGACGGACTCGAGTGCATACACCAAATTTCTGAGAAAACGTAACTAACACTTAGTGCACTTTAATTATTATGGCATTTGTGCTCTAGCAACGTGAAATCACGGAATTGAGCATTATATATATATATATATATATATGTATATAGAGCGAATGTTTCTCCTAATATAAGGATTATTACCGGGTCCGTAACGCTTCGATCCATATCAAGTTTTTTCCCAGAATCAATGCACAGTGCCTCCTTAATTTTGAGATCTTCCGAACTGTCGAGATGAATAAATTCAGCGTCGGGTTTTGTTCGACTCACGTCGAAGTCGACATGACCTCGAAGGACCTTCGCGTCGAAGTCCACAACAACATCCCAGTGGAAAGACTTAACCACCGCTTCCTCCGGTCTGTCCAATAGCAGTTAAACAAAAAAGTCAGACATAAGCTAATCTAGCGGAAAATTTTCACTTAGGTTTTAGCGATCTTTTTAGAGACTTTGGGCTGCTACACCGCTTTATGTCATTGCTTTTGACTGACTGACTACGTTCAAAGTATGTGTGACTGTAAGTTTCTTAAATCTCTTATGCAATCTATGTAAGCTGCTTTGCCCTACAAATGCTACTACTATTTCAAAACAAGTACTTCCAGCGATGCGAGCACAATTTTGGTAGTCGAACAGATCGGAACAGTACGGAATGCGATCGCAGCCAATGTTATGCAGCACACAGTCATATATGCCTGAGTCTTATCTATTACAGAAGTTCTTTTTAATCAGACATTTGACGTGATGCTAAAAATTTTCTGACTGTTCTAGGCTCGTACACGTAACTCTTTCAAAAAATTAAAGAAGAATAGATGATGACTTATTGGCCGTTTATAAAATTCGACTCACCTTTTTTCAACTGTGGAGAAATATAACGCTTTCATGACTGCGAGTGTTTAAACAATTACGAAACGTAGGAGAAATAGCTGAACTGAATGCAAGGCTGGCGCTGCACCGAAAAGCATTGAAACAGCCGCATTTAATAAAATCTTATAAGCATTTCTGGCAGACATGTGGCCTCAATCTTGTCGACTCTACATAATTTATTGCGGCGTACGACATGGTCACATTTAAAAAGTGTCACCCGATTGCAGCATAGATTGGCTGACTCGGTGATATGGCAGAGATTTGGGAGCAGTTAGTCATCTTTCTATACCACAAAGAACAATTCCGAGGAAAGCTAAAAAAGTATGCCCAACATCAGTACTTTAGCGGGTGCGTTCCAAAACGTAAAAAATATTCATATTTTTTACGTTTACTTATTAACTTATAGCGATTAAAAGTTAAAAAAGATATTCATATCTTTTTTAACTTTACGTTTAAAACTTGTTTCTTATATTTGGTTAATAAGTCTATGTCAATATACCACTCACTCGTGCCGCAAACCCGTTCTATGTCCCAAAGAACGATAATTTATTTGAACCGACTTTGTGCGTCTCAATAATAATCGATATCAGGTTTTTTTGGTTTACAACTAAGAAAAAGAAAACATTTGATAATAAATGCTTTTCTTTTCTTTCGTTTTTCCTTGTTTTTGTTGGCCTGTAATCATTGGCTTAATGAAAACAGGTTAAACCCTTTATTGAGACTTGCGTCAAGAAAAGCCGTCGAGGCAATGGTATTGCAACGGAAATTCACGTACAACGAACAACGAAATCTGGAAGAACAATCGAGTTCTATTACTGTACTTCAAGATATTCAAAGGTGATTTGTTTCGTGTCGTAAAAACAACACGACCGCCACTTGGTCAATTACTACAATGAATTACCACAATTACCCACTTTTTTACGGCTGTTAATGCGGATTAACTGGTAAACGTTTTTTTTCGTATGCTAAAGACCTTAATGTACGAGTAGTGCCGACTGTTTAATATGCTACTGGAATCATGACCGTTCCGACTGCGCGAAACTCAGAGTGTTAAAGATACCTACTTGTAGATGCAACGCAGCTATGTAGAACTAGGTCGGATGCTAACCGCCAATATTTTATATAATGAATGCAGTATTTATTTTCCCTCGTGTTCTTTCCCTCCGCCAACAGCCTGCTAACAAACTATTATAGCGCGTTTACGAAAAAGATTAGCTTTATGTATATATATATTAGAGAGCTGTTTCAAAAAAATGAATTCCTGGATTCCTTAGCCTATGCTCAAACGATATGGCACGACAAACAGGTTCATCAGCTTAATAAAATCTGCCCTTAAACAATTCTTTAGCAAATTTGACTGCCACATAAGCTTAGGATGTCTAATTAGTATTGCTACCATTTATTCTCGAATGCACACGATCGATACGCTTATAACTGTTCGTACTAAGAAAGTTACACACCTGCTAAAGGAGTTGGGATCTTGCGAACTGAGCCAAGCCATTGTGCGTCGCGAAATAGCCGAAATCGGGAAAAAGTTGACAGCAATTTTTAAGTCGGCTGTTCTGGTAATACACCATATGGTATTTTTCGTAAAACTGTTGCCACGCCCGCCGTGAATTCTATTGCCACTAATACCCCTTACAAGGCTGCTATTATTTTTGTTCTTGCCAGGCTGGTAATATCTCTTCACCGAAAACAAAGTAGTTGTGAATGGCTGGCTTGTGCTCCGGCATATCCACCGGCGCGATTTCTGCGCCACCAGGCGGTGTGCGACGATGCCTGCAGCAGACGACGCCAGCATCATTCTAATATAAGGAGTTTATGAGACGCTCTAGTGAGTTTTGTTTTCGTCTGCAACCATATATTATCTACACAACAGGCGGAGAAATAGATAGAGTAGGGCTACTATCGACTAAAAATTCAACGTTTCTTAATTTTTGAATGCCGCATTTTTCTCCACTCAAAACTTCGAGCTGATGTTGATCAACTTTCCTTAATTCACACGTACTATGAGAAATGAAGAAATGGCACACATTCGTCGAATGAAAACCATACTTCTACTGAACTAACCTATAATGAAACAGTGTTCAGTGCGGAACACATATGACGCAGGTGAATGAACGCGTTTTCTTCCATGGTAAGCAGACGGAATTTGCCAGCGTCAGGGGCGGTTGTGTTTATAGAATGGATTCTTAATCAAAATCATCAGCGAAAACGTAATCAAAGAGCTTAAATATATCCGATATAGCACCCCGTTAGAAAACGAGGTTATTAGATTGATTAAGAGTAGACTAATTCATACACAGGGATAATAATATTCTGATCTTAGTTAAGAATGGAACTTTGACGGAGTTTAAATATTTGGTCACAACAAATAAATACATATGCAGTGGACTTACAATATTTATAAAGAAAAAAAAGTTTGTGATCCATGAGGAAATTAAAACTTTAAGGCAAGTCGATGAACAACTAAAAGACCTATCAGTGTCATTACTCCCGACTTAGAGACAGAATACAAACTCTATCTAAACAGCCTGTCTGGTCTACTGGTGGTCCAAAAATGTTGGACATCAGCTCCAAACCTAATGTGTTAATCAATCATTGGTTGACATTAAATGCTACTCAAAGCCCGTTTACCACAACGTTCACCTATATATTCACGAAAGCTTGTTCTGAACACTGACATTGTCCATAATAAAGAACAAAGTTTATAACATGCAACTGTCTATCAGCATTTGCTCGCTGTATACTGTTACCTTGAATTCGAATCATGAAGTATTAATAGGGCGGTCACTCAGGAGGAAGTTAAAGGAGGAAGGAAAAGCAGGTTTGCAAAGTGTTGGCCCCGATATGCCACATTTTTTTTCTTGGTTGATAGCTATGATCTGTTGCATCTGTGAGAAGTGCCTTCACGACACCTGCGCATTCTATTAGCGAATAGACGTTTAGGAGCACCTTCCGAAGCATACCCAAGCCTACACCAGTACCTGATGAACATTTGCTATACCTATACCCCCATGCGTGTCCTTAGAAATACCAAATAATGTATTCAGTAATTGAAATTAGTCAATATTATTCCTTATGCGTCGCCTTTTTTAGTGGATTTCTCATGCAAAAGCGATCCAAAGAAAACAGCCAGTCTTAGTTTTGTTCTTTAAAAATTTACACTTTTATTATGCAATCTTTCATTTTTTTCTCTTTATTATCTTCTATTTTTATCCCCTTTCTTATTACTTTCATTTTCATAGCCTATATTTCATCCTATATTTTTATATATATGTATATATAAATGGTTTTCCAGGGTCGTCCCTGCGTGGACCCACCACGTTGTTTTGTTGAGCTCCAATATAAATATCAAGCTCAATAAATATAAACAACTCAAACGATTTATAGCAGCACTTCAGCACCCTCAGCAATTATCGTACCCTTCCTTTTCCCCGTTTACATTGCTTTCGTTCATGCACCACCCATCACCCACCACTAACATGTCCTTCATTATAATTATCCAGCAATAATATGGTCATTGCCACTATCGCGACCCCGTCATTCTATTAAGCATCGCCAAACATGATAATCAGCAATTGGGCGTTCGTAGACACCCTCACGATCCTAGTTCACCCTTCAATCCAAGTTTGCACCACCTTCCCTAAACATTTCTATATTATCCTCAATATCGCCATCAGCAAATGTTTATATATATATATATATATATATATATTATATATATATATATATACGCAGTGTTACTGTCCTTTATATTGGTTATTTTTGTTATTATTGGGCGTGTGTATTCTGATTTTTCTTTAGTGTCCACTGCTGTATTTTCGAACACTCGCGCGTACTCAGGTCTGCTTCTAATTTTGGAAGGCCCTGATATTCCTTTTTCCACTAGCGTGAAACCAGGACAATACCAATACATAAGAGGCTTGTATCGTAACTTTAAACTTTTCTTTATGTCCACCGCCGTCTATTATCCAGCGCCGGAGTAAATATTATATCGTCAGTAGCATCATCTATCGGTCAAAATGATGTTCGGTCTCATCCCTAATAATAGCAGCTCAAACGGACCGTATTAAAAGGTGGCTCCTTCGGGAGGTTGTTGAAGGCGACTATTCTCCTTGGCGGTCATTGACCGACGGAGCTCCTGAACGGTGCCAGTGATAACGTCGACAACGCATGCATAAACAGTATAGAAAAATATTGGTTAGAGTTATATATAGGACAGCGCGATTACGTTACGGTGTAGCCAAACATTATGGATCTTAAATTCATCATTTAGTTAGGCCTAGAGCGCTTGAATACCCAGCCCACTCCATGACTTCGACGATTAGCGTACTTTTCCAATGATTGCTAAATCTAATATAACCTAAAAGCGAAACCCGTTAGAACTCGTTAGAAACAAAAAAAAAACCCACCTGGAGAACCGTCTTAATAGAGTAAGTTCTGTGCCACCGGGATAAGGAAGCTAAGCTTCGCCGATCAACAACCCCAGTTGTATCGTTTACTCCAGCCATTTTAATTTTCGTTACAAAGCGAAAACATGGCGGTTCTTCTGGGTATTGGGGACCACATTCAATCTTCAATGAATACATCTTGTTTTCGAACGGAGATCGAGCTGGACCAATAATCATACCTGCAGAATTGTCAATTATCAATGCCGAGCACATCAGTAATCGGTGAACCGGGCATCCATACTAAACATAATATACAATTGATACATATGCTCATAACTGAAGCAGCTAATTTGATTATATTAGTTTTTCTGCATCTTGCTAGACGATTACTATAGTGTAACATACCGTTCCAATGTGTCAATGTCATGTCGGAATCATCTTCAAGACCCCAGGAAATGGTCCCGTCGCCGACTCCTTTTTGGCCCTGTTCGAGTTCTTCAAGGAGTCTGAAGTTGCGCGGGATCACCACGTTCGCTGCGGATTCAGTGACAATATTATAATGTTAAAATGGATATCTGTAGTTTGAAACGGCAAAGACAAGGATCAAGGATAATTTGCAAGCGTTTCTATTTAAGACAATTATCATTTTCTCTCAACTGCATGTGCATCTCATGTCAACAGTCCTTATAAGCAAACATCTGCGCTCATGTATAACGTACACGTAAAGCAAGTTACGTAATCATCGAGTAACGTGTTAAAATAGCCGTAATTAGTATGCGTCGCTCACTTCAGGAAAACGCATTAATTCCATATCGTATTAGCAACACAGAGCTCTGAACATGCTCCGACAAACTGCATATAAAAGCAGGCCGTCATGCTATATGAAACACTAAGTGCGAAATTCCTATGAATGCGATTTCACATGGAATAAGTACATATGGAGTAACGATCACGTTAAGTCACTGTCTACTCAATATTCGTATGGTATCGTTACTGTCTGTCTTTGCATCATATTATATAACTAATCTGGAATGATCGGCAATATGCAGCAGGCTAATTGGACAGAACGTACTATGAGGCTAATATAGCCGACACTTAACTACAGTGTCCATTATATATTGTTTCATAATCAATGAATCGCAAAGAAGAAACTGTATGGTTCGTGATGATTAGAGACACTCGGCTTTCATATACATATATAATAAAGCATTCATTAAACCGCATATAATACTTATGGAAAGATCATTTCATACCGTCTACTTATGTCACTGAAATCGGTTAAAGCGTTTATTCGTATGTATTGTCCATTTGACTTAGCAACAATGAATCATGAACAGTGGCCTTTTTACTATGTCGGAACAAGAAAACTAGAACACAAAAAAACTAGAGTTAAGTTATGCGTATAAGTGGCAAAAAAAAAAGAATGGCCTCAAAGATGGGTACCGTCAATGCTGGCGCCCACAAAATCAGCTGTCTCTGACGAAAAATGTTATTGTCCGTCTTCGAAGAAAAACAACAGGGAACATGCATAATGTAAAAGTATTATATTGAATAGTGGAAATTATGTCGTCCACAACCAACATGAGACGTAGTATTGCCGACGGGAACATCATCACACATTTATACGCTTCGCTTGATTATTTTATCAGCACATCCAGCTATCAGCTATATTTGCATACGCAGATATGGCAAGTGTAGTCAGAACCAAGTCACGCACTGTTATAATAACGACAATATTAGCTAACGCCAGTGGACAATACCACCATGACAACAAATTTATCTAGGCAATGAAAGGCTGTCTCACTTAAGATACAGGGCGTGTGAGTCTGTCCACCATGGCTTTGCTATATAGTATTGCTATTACAATTATGTGTTATGCTTTGCAGAACAGTCGGTTTCTGCACTATAGGCAAATTACGCATATAATATATCACAGAAGGAAACAGATGAAACATTGGTTAGTTTCTATCCATGTTGCTCCACTGCTGTAAGGGTAATCGTTTATCATTGTAGTTTGTCGTAGACGAACCAAAAGGCCCTAATACTCGTCACTGCTAGTCCAACGAGTTTTTCTTGTTTTCATTCAGTTTATGCTTTGCATTCAAACACTCGTCTCTATGTAAACTCCCTAACATGTCACACATATACAGACACAATCTTACACAGCTATAGAGAGAAACACACATTCCTGTACCATTAATAACACGCTTATTTTTATTGGCAACAATAGCTCACGATCGATTTCTGTAGGACACGTTAGCTTCTGGGCTCCGTAATAACGATTACACTGTTGTGTCATGTTTCCAGCATGACAAGGCCGAATACTATACTTGCAGCCACTATTGTTTCAATAATATATACGCTAAAGGATGTACGACTATTCGGTTACTGCATGATGTACTCGCATGCCTTTAGAAGGAACGTGATAATCATATTGGTTAAGAATGTATACAGTTAGAAATGGTTATCGACTGCTAATGTGAACTTATTTGACCCGTTCACGTTCTATGATATTTGCATTTGCTATTTGCCAGCTGGCAGCAGGTAGTTCGTTAGATCGAACCAACCAACTCTCAATGCTTATTCTTTTGTGCTGGCTGCAAAACCGGGTCCAGCCAGTGCTCATGCTCAAATACTTCCACGTTTTTAACCAATAGCCTGATTCCTGGACGAGTTTCGACTCCGTGTTTTTCTATATTCTCCAGCGCAGTACACGTTACGTCTGTCTAGGAAGTCAGCTAAGCTTTTAACCGACAGCGGCATCGTATTAGCAGGCTTCGAGAGGTTGATCAGAGAGGTCTGGTCAAGGAGTCGCCGTACTAATGTAAAAGAAACAAAGTGAGACAGATAGTCCCCGTCATCGAGAGCGAATCACGTAGACTACACAATTTTCTTCGGAACATCGAATCGTTCCACTAGAGCCATCCTTGATCCAACTATATTTCCGCTAATAAGCCGTTAGCTGAAAGGAATTCTTGTCAAAATTGTCTACTTACAATTGCCCAATGAGGATGCCATGGTGTCCCAAGATTCTGTTAGCAAGCGGAATCTATCGTCGTCTGCACAAACCTTTCAAATCGCACACTACAACAACAGCGGCAGTGATACCCGGTGCTCGATGGAGACAACAACGGAGAGATCTGTATGTATTTTCGTAGAGTGGGTACAAAAACGACTGCAGCACACCGCTCAAATGAATGGACGCAATGCGATGTGCTTCCAAAGCCATACTGAAGGAGAATCGAGAAAGCCATATCGCTGGCGACGTCGTCTGCAACTGTCACACACTGGAGCCCGCCCATAAACGGTATTTGCTAACCGCACCGATAGCGCAGCCTTATTTCTCCTATACGACCACAATTTTGTGTTTTGTATTATTTATCGGCAAACGAATTCGGGGGAAACATGAAAAATTTGAGAATCACTCTCCAAAGGCTCAAAATTCGTATACGTAGATAGCAGTAAGCGCCTCCAAGCGGATTTCGAAAGTCGTTTTGGCTTGCGCCGTACTGTGATCGCAGCCGCTGCTGTCAGCGGACGAATGGCGAATCAACACCGCCCGCCCGGCCAGAGTTAGTTAGGTGGATCAAATGTCTTTGCCGACTAACTTTGAAACACGTGCTGGTCTGGATTCGAGGCTGAATACACTTCGTTCTGTGCTGAAGCCCGTCGTGTGAAACAGTGCTTAACAGCGCTACCGGACATAAGGCTCGAAAAATGTATCTAGGTCGGACGAATGTCCATCCAAAAACAATAACAAAATACACACCCATACACGCAGACTGGGTACATAGGACTTGCAGACTGCTCTATGCCCTGCAGTAGCCAAGAGTAGAGTTTTGATTTGCAGTATAGTTAGTTACCCTCCCTCTCCACGGGCCAAAATAGTATATAGAAAAAGAGGGAGAGAACGAGTCGGGCTCTAGATGCGTGCATACGTGAGATCGTCGGACCGACGAATAGAATGCTCAGATCGGTGTGTGTGGCGGGGGGGCTTTGTTAAGCACACATTATTCTTTCTTATTCCAGTACCCCCGCAAGTCTAATGAATTTCCTATCATATGCACTTTACTGCGATTTGGTTCGAAATCGCGCGTTATATGTCTTTTTACGCTGATAAGATAACCTCGTGAACTTCCGCGCTTCTGTTTGTGATCAACCGGTGGGTAACTCTGCGATACTGAATACATGTTTTCTTATACAAAACAAGGGTGAACTAGATACGTATGCTAATGCTGTTTCGCGTAACTATCATAAAAACTGAATGCAACGGAGTTAAGACTGTTGATCATCAAAAATATAACTTGTAGTATAGTGAGTTTTATTGTTTCTGATTGGTCTGTGTACTCACTATCGTGAGGAGAAACAGCCTACGAAGGAGAGTGACAAGAAGGTTCAATAATCGGCGAAAATGTGAATCGATTTTGTGCATTGCCAATTGGCCATGGTGCTTGCAAAGAAGTACGCGGACGATGTAAGCGGCTTACAACCCGTGCATCACGGCCTCAAGCATAGCTATTCTCTGACAGGGCGACGGCCGTATAGAGTTGTAGTGTACAGGTATTTATGCTTACAGTTGTGGTAATAGCTTCTATATAGTCAGCAATAGGTTTACGTGACTAAGTAATCGTGTAGTTGTCCTGTATACGGTTCCATCGGTGTTTCACATTAGCCCATGAATAACTAGCATCTTGTGAATTAGAACGACTGCATTTTTACTATGTGCTACGAATTACGTACGAATTTTAATTTTACCGCATTATGATTAGATACATCGTATGGGCCGGCTTTTAATTTTATACACACATTTTGACATGAGTACAGTTTGTTTAACACTTAGTGTGCTGCTGCAGATTTCCATACACTTAATAATAAGTGTAGCAATTAGATAATGTTGATTCTAGAGTAAATCGCGATAATCATAGTTGTATGATTTGATGAAGTTATATATTTGCAGCGAAGTAAGTCGAATAGTAACAACACAGGATATAAATGACAGACAGCTGCGTATATATAATTTATATATGTAAATGTATATTATATGTGGTGTAATGCTTTTTGTAATGACAGTTTCATATGCAATTTCCGTCTATTGTTTATGATTTCGTACAATACGTTACTTACAAATGAAAACGGTTCCGCTTGCATTTTTACCTTATTATTTATTCCAACCGTTTTCGCCCCAGTCGCCATTGGCGTTTACTACAATTGCCTAGATTCTGTTCCGTTGCTTTAGTGATAATAACACGAAGTGGTTCAACCGATATTTTTTTGTGTTATTTCATTTACAGATACCGTCACCGGTCGGCCACCGCAGCTAGCGATAAGCTTTACGATGGTGTATCAGGCCTTGGCCTATTGCGTAGGCATCTCGTTGGTGTTTCTTCTCTCCATCTATGTTGGCACAGAAGGCCGACGGCGTAATGACCCCCAGGTGGCGAAGCTTCGCTGCATGCGGGTACTTTTGCTCAGTCTAGTCACTCCGATTTTCGTCTATTTAGTCCACGATCCTTCGGTGTACCCACCCGATACTCCGTTCCTGCACATAATCGGTCTTCGGATGGAAGGTTTACTTTCAGCCTGCATTTTCTCGTTGCTACTTACAACTTTATTTTTTCTTGGTCCAGTTGTGCAACACTTTATCGTTGACGGCTATTACAGAGTCGTGGCTGAGCCGGGCTTTTGGATGGCCAGCTTAAACGACCCGCTTTGGATTCGAGACCACCTTTGCGCTCCTCTCGTTGAAGAAGTCTGTTTTCGAGCCTGTGTTATACCGTTACTATTTCCACATCTACACGAGCTCGGTTCCGCCATCGCTGGGCCGGTTATTTTTGGTCTGTGTCATCTCCATCATCTTCGCGAGCGGGCTCAGCAGATCGACCTGCCGATTGCTCTGCTTGTTACGGCCTTTCAGTTTACCTACACGACCCTGTTCGGGATCTATGCGTCGTACATGTTTCTTCGTACGGGACATATCATTCCGTGCATACTTGTGCATTCATTTTGCAACTATATGGGTGTACCACAATTTCCTCCTGAGAAGGGCTGGCTGTGGCCACTATTTGTCGGCGGTGTCCTAGCATGGCTCTACATGGTGGGCCCGCTGATGGATCCCGGTCTATACGTTAACAAAGTTTACAATGTATATTATAGTGAAATGTCAAATTCTCAGCTTGACGATTAGGAAGACTTAGATGTACAAGGAATGATTGATAAATGCTTCTATTAGAGAGTGCAAGTGAGCCCGCCTCGTGTACTGTATAGAAAACTCGTACGCATGTAGCAATAAAATTATACACATTATTTAGAAAAACAGATTTATACATAAATTTGTTATATATGTGTATATATA